CGCGACAGGGCCTTGACCCAACCCTCCATGGCGGCCTGACTCTCAGCGGCCAGCACGTAGGTGCGCGCCCGGGTCCCCGCGAAGCGCACGGCGAAGGCGAACTCCTCCGCGGCCTCCACCAGCTCCACGGTGCAGCCCTCCAGGATGATGACGCCCACAGGCTCGCGGCTGGCCGCATCCTCGAAGTAGAAGAGCATGTTCCCGCGCAGGACGAACCAGCGCCGGTGGTAGGCTGCGTGTCGCCCGCCCTTCTTGTACAGGAAGCCTGCGTTGTCCACTGGGGCGTCGCAGGTGGCGTAGAAGGCCAGGCTGCGCTCGTTCAGCTTCATGGCGGCAATCGCCGGGCCTGGAGGGGAGCCCGGGGCCTGGACCCCATGGAAGGGCTGTTACGCACAAGGCCACTGATGCTAGGTCACCCAGTGCCCCGAGGGGACCTTGCGGCCACTCTACATCCCCGTTTCACAGATGAGGAAACTGACACTCACAGGGTGGAAGCAGGCAGCCCATGTGCCCACAACTCCTAAGGAGCAGAGACAGGACTGGAACCTGGGTCTCACCAGCCTCCCCAGACAGCCTCATAACCTCCTGCCCTCCTGTATCCCTGAAATAATGTTGTGAGTTCCTGCCGCATGCCAGACATTTCAGAGGGATGAACTCACTTGATCTCACAATAGACCTTAGGTTACAGGGACTGGCCTGGCTTGGGTTCAACAGATGAGGAAACAGGCACAGAGAGGTTAACTGCTTCCCTGGTGTCACAAAGCAGGTTGGGCAGGGCTGAAATCCAAACCCAGGCCTCATTTCAGGCGCTGCTGTTTCCATCATCCCAAGAACAAGACCAGCTGGCCTTCTGCAGTCTCTGCCAGGTCCCAGCCCTGACTGTGGTTCGACCTTGGTTTGTCCGTCCATGAAATAGGGATATGGGCGGAACCAACTTCAGAGACTTGTAGAGATTGACTTCATTCATGGAATGTTTATTAAGCATCTACTGTGTGCCAGGCACTGTTCCAGGCCTAGGGATAGAGCAAAAACAAGACGGACAGGGTCCCTGCCCTTGTGGTGTTGAAATGCCACTGGCAAGTGAAAGGGAGCAGACAGTTAACAGATAAGATGTCTGCCAGGTAGTCTCATGTCCTGTGGAAAATAAGACAGGGGCTGAGCGCAGTGTCTCACGCCTGTAATCCTAGGGCTTTGGGAGGCCAAGGCCGATCCTTCTCACCTGAGGTCAGGAATTCAAGACCAGCTTGGCCAACATGGCAAAACCCCATCTCTACTAAAAATAAAAAAAAAACAGCCAGGTGTAGTGGTGCACACCCATAATCCCAGCTATTTGGGAGACTGAGGCAGAAGAATCGCTTGAACCCAAGAGGCGGAGGTTGCAGTGAGCCGAGATCACGCCATTGCACTCCAGCCTGGGCAACAGAGCAAGACTCCATCTCAAAAAAAAAAAAAAAAAAGCCAGGCCTGGTGGGGAGTGCCTATAATCCCAGATACCTGGGAGGCTGAGGCAGGAAAACTGCTTGAACCCAGGAGGCAGAAGTTGCAGTCAGCCGAGATCGCACTACTGCACTCCTGCCTGGGGACAGAGCCAGACTCAATCTCAAAAAAAAGAAAGAATCTGGGCAAACATGCAAACCCAGGGTTAGGCTGACTTACAGGAAGGAGGGGCAGGGGGGCGTCCCATGCCATTTAGCATAGAGGACTCTAACTCCATGCCGTCAGCCACAGTGACCCCATTCACTTTCCCCCAAGGAGTATACGATGGGGCAATGCTGGCCAGGAAGGACTTATCGGGAGGTGGCATCTGCGTCCCTGGCCTGGCCACCTTCCCTTGGGGTTTTCCACGGCCATTTTAAGAGCCCACCTTATCTCCCACTGTAGAGCCTCAGCCTGCATAGGATGGTAGCTACATTTTTCAAGAGGCAAAGCATATAAAGTCCTGGTACGCAGTAGGCACTCAGTGTTCATTGCCCTGCCTGGGTGGCGTCTTTCTCAGAGCCTGGTGGAATGAGGTCAGGGTGGTGGCTCTCCTAGGAGCAGCTGACCGCAGTGAGGCCCTGTCGGACTACCTGACCTAGGGTGGAAGGGGTTGTCCTTGCCACCTCCTGTCACCCACACAGGCAGTCAGGGAAGGCTTCCTAGAAGAGGGAACATGAATTGTGACTTAGAAACTGAGAAAATGCCCATCAATGATAGAGTGTATAAAGAAAATGTGGTATATATACACCATGGAAAACTATCCAGCCATAAAAAGGAATGAGATCATGTCCTTTGCAGGGAAACAGATGAAGCTGGAAGCCATCATCCTCAGCAAATTAACACAGGAACAGAAAACCAAATACCGCATGTTCTTACTCATAAGTAGGAGTTGAACAATGAGAACACGTGGACACAGGGAGGGGCAGAACACACACGGGGGCCTGTTGGGTGATGGGGGTGAGGGGAGGGAACTTAGAGAACAGGTCAATAGGTGCAGCAGGCCACCATGGCACACGTATACCTGTGTGACAAACCTGCATGTTCTGCGCATGTATCACGGAACTTAAAATAAAAAAAGAAACTGAGGTCAGTCTGTCCTGATCTAGTGGGGGGCCAAGGCCAGAGCTCCCAAAGTCTCCAGGTGTTGAATCCCTACCCTGCCTCTCAGATACAGCTGTCCCTCTCTAAGCCACAGGGATTCACGCATTCCCCACACCACCACCCATCAACTCCCATGTGGATGCTGGCCCCAGTTCTCACAGGACCCTCCCACCCCACTTGCCCAGTTCCGCTCCTACCTCTCAGGCCACCACTCGCCTCCCTGCCCTCTGTTCAGCTCCAGCCTCAGCTTGCTCTTCTCTGGATTCAAATGTCAGCTCTGCAGCATCTGGGCTGGGGGACCCCAGGCAGGCTATTAACCTCTCTGGGCCTCCGTTTCTGCATCTGTAAAATGGGATCGTAACAGTGCCTAAGTCAGGGCTGTTGTGACAATGATACAGTGACTACACGGACTTTGCGGAGCACGGGGCCAGGCACACAACGCCTGCTAAGCACAGCTGCAGTTCACATTCTTCTTGGCTTTTCCCCAAACGTCCCCGTGTCATACTTCTGATCTCAGCAAATGGCCCTTGGTTTCCCTCTCACCCCCACATCTGATCACATATCAAGTCCAGTTGATCCCCCTTCTCCAGCGTCTTCCAAATCAGTTGCCTAATCTGTCCACTCCACCTCCCCATTCTAGGCCCCATCACCATTCACTGGAACGGTTGCTGTAGCCTCCACACAAGTCTCCTTGCCCCCCCACCCGTCCATGTTCCTCAAGGTAAGATCCAAGCCTCCTTCCTAGGCTTTTCTCCGAGCCACACTGAAATCCATTCCCCACAGAGGGATCCTGTGAAAATTAAGTCCAATCACACTCCTTCTCTGCTCTAAACCCTCCCATGGCTCCCTGCTTCTCTCAGCATAAAATTAAATCCTTAGGCAGGGTGCGGTGGCTCACACCTGTAATGCTAGCACTTTGGGAGGCTGAGGCCGGAGGATCGCTTGAGTTAGAGACCAGCCTGGACAACACAGCAAGACCCTACCTCTACAAAAAATAGAAAAAAAATAGCTGGGCATGTTGACACAAGCCTCTAGTCCTAGCTGTCTGGGAGGCTAACATGGAAGGACCCCTTGAACTTGGGAGTGATCATGCCACTGCACTCCAGCCCGGGCGACATAGTGAGATCCTGCCTCAAAAAAAAAAAAAAAAAAAAAAAACAGCCCAAGCCTCCCATGGCTTCCAAGTTCCCTTTTCCTACCTCTTTCCCCCTTGTTCACTCAGCTCCAGCCATCCTGGCCTCCTTTCTGTTCCTTAAATACACCAGATACATCCCCACCTCCAAGACTTGGTCCCGGCTGTCTGCCTGCAGGTCTTCACAAGGCCAGTTCCCCATCCTTTGGTCTCAGCCTAGCTGTCACCGCCTCAGAGAGGTGGTCCCTGGCCACCCTATGCATAAGAGGCCCTCCAGTCCCTCTCCTGTGCCTCCACCTGAAATTATTAATACCTGGGTCATTTTTGCCTGCTCTAGGAAAGCTGGGGCGTTTGTGGTCTGAATTCCAGTGCCAGGCATGCAGTAGGTGCTCACATAGCTGTTTGATTCATTCTGCAGGTATCTTCTGAAACTTCTCGACGGCCCCATGACAAGGGGTCTCACCCCACATTCACAGATGTGGAAATGGACACAGGGAGGTTCAATAAGTTGGCCAGAGGCATACAACTGTGCCCAGAATCACATGCTCCAGGCAAGCCACCCAAATAAAGGAGCCGATCTTGGGGTCTCTCCACCCCATCAAGGCCAAAGGAATAGCAACTTCCCTCCTGCTCAGCAAACCTCCTCCCTGCACTGCCCAGATGGAGGCCAAACTGCTTCAAAGTCACCAGCAGGCACAGGACCCAGCTCTGCCCATGACCCCTGCCTCCACCAGAACAGGGAAGGCAGGAAACTGCAGGGGCACAGGCTCCAGCCTTGCCTGGAGCGAAGGCCTGGTCCCTGCCTTATCTCCCCACACTGTTTTCCAAGAAGTTCAGAGTCCGCTGTGGGCACTGCTGCTGATTCAACAGCCCAGGGCCAGACAGGAAGCTGGAGGGAGCCTGGCCCCGTGCTGCTCCCAAGGCAAAGTTCCTGCCTCTGCAGGTCCAGGCTGGAAGGCCTTGGACAAGTCGTTTCACCTTTCCAAGCCTCAGTTTCCTCGTCTGTTAAAATGGGCTGTGTAGCAAGGGTCCATGAGCTAAAAGAAGGAAAACCCACTGGCAAACTATGGGAAATGGATTGCAAATATTAGCTGCTGTGAGTCGGGGTTTTCTCAGCCTCATCTGCAAAATGGGGATGTTAACTTCCATCCCTCTATGGGCTGAGTGAATTTACTCCTGAAGAGTCATTTTGCAAAATGCTTTCAGGGAAAGAGCTGTCAAAAAGGCAAATAATTCATCCAAGATCTCCAGGGGCACAGCTGGCCCTGGAACCCAGGTCTCTGGGGAGACTGAAGCATGGCATTTTGGCACTCACTTTAACGAAAGAAGCCAGAACCACAGGTTCTGGGGTTGAATCCAGCTGCCCTCAGTGTCCCCCAGCAGCGGGCGTGGGGAAGAGGGTGTGGCAGGCACAGGCTGAAAAACATGTGTGCCAAGAACACTGAAGACCAGCCTGTCCGTCAGCGCAACAGCAGGGACCCCAGGGACGTGCCAGCACCGCCGTCCAGACACAGGCAGCCCCCTTGCCCACGGCAGGGGCTGCTTCTCCAGGTGTGGCCCTGCTCCCGGCTGCTCTCTGTCCCTTTGTGTGTTGTGCGTGGCAGCTCTCTTAAGTTCCTTAAAGGACAGTCAGGGCCCCAGATGGGTGATCAGCGGCAGAATAGGGGGCTTGTCCGCAGTCCCCCACAGCGGCAGATGTCCCTATGGGCTGAGGGCGGGGAGGGTGGTCATCGGCCAAGTTCGCCTCGGCAGCTGGAGAAGTGACCACTGGTGCAAAGTCCCAGCAGGGAAGATCCCCGCAGCGCGCTCTCCAGGTGGCCGGGGAACCCCGAGGCCCAGGGCGGCCTGACCCGGGTCCCGTGTCCCGGTGCAGGTCCCCCCGCCAGGCCCGCCTTACCTCGCAGCGCAGGCCTAGGGCGGCGACGGGACGGGAGGCGCGAGGCTGGGGGGTGACCCGGCCATGGTCCAGGACTGGCCCGGTTGCGGCAACGGCGGCAGCAGCGCTTTGTCTCCTGGGCGGCCGGGGCGGCGCAGCCGCGGGAGAGCTCAGATCCGACGGAAGGAGGCGGGAGCAACCGGACAGTCCGCGACCCACGGGCGCGCCCCTTTAACCCTTCCCAGCCTGCTCGCGCCGGGACCGACCTCGCGTTCTTCCCGCCTCCCGATTGGCCGGCCCCGAACCGGCACGCCCCCGGATTCGCCACGCCCCCGTGAGCCCGCCCTCGAAATCACTCTTAAAGGGTCCGCTCGTGGCTCTCGACTCCCCAGTGCCCTAGCCCAGAAAAGAGGATTCGAGCCCGGGAAGCTCATTGCGATTCCAAAGGTAAGGACCGGCTCAGGTCGTGGATTAGCCTGGAAAAAGCATTTGGGGATCCTGGGCGGGCCATTCGCTGAAGTCCTAGGCTTAAGTCCAAACTCCCCCTAGGACAAGGCAGGAGCCAGTAGTTCAAGACCAGCCTGGGCAGCATAGGGAGACCGCCATCTCTACAAATAATAAAAGTATTTGCTAAACCTGGGTTGCCAGGTTTAGCAAATTTAACTCCCAGTTATATTAGAAAAATAGCTCTAACTCCTGAAAAATGTGTAATTGGCAGAAAACAGCTGAATCCAGTACATTTCCATACAGCACTGTTCCATACGGACAGGGCGCCTCGCAAGCTTCCCCTGGCTCCAGGTGAAGAAAGTTCTGGAATGGGGCAGACTTGAGTTCGAGTCGCACTAGGCCACTGAACACTGTGTGAGCTTAGAGAAATCATTTCACTTCTCTAAGCCTCCGTTTCTTCATCCGGAAAATAAAGACGATCATGATATGTAAAGTGCACGGCACAAAAGAAAGCTCTCAAGAAATAGGAATTGCTGTTGTTTTTGCCCTGCCCAAAATAACACAGTTCCAGCTCCTTGAACCCTTCCTTACTTCCTGTTCCTGACGCCTCTTCTCCACCACCTGCCACCTCCCAATCACTATTCAGTCCTGGCCTGAAAGCAGGAAGAACAGGTCAGACCAGGCTCAGCTCTCCATCGTTCAGCCTCTCACTAAGTGCCTACTGTGTGCCAGGCACTGCTCCTGAACCAGGTAAGTAGGTGCAGCCAAGAATCAAGACAACACAAATGAGTTCTGTAAGTTATTCATGCTAGGACTGTACGCTAAGGCAATGGGGCAGAAAGCCTGGGAGTGCAGTTTTTGTTGTTGTTGTTGTTTTTGTTTGTTTGTCACGCAGGTTGGAGTGCTGTGGCACAATCACAGCTTGTTGTAACCTGAACTCCTGGGTTCAACCAATCCTCCCACCTCAGCCTCCCAAGTAGCTGGGACTACAGGTGTGCGCCACCACACCCAGCTAATTTTTTGTAAATTTTTTGTAGAGACGGAGGGCCTTGCTATCTTGCCTAGGCTGGAAGTGCAGCTTTTAGACAAGGTGGTCAGGGAAGGCCTCTCTGAGGAGCAGAGACCTGGAGGAATGAGGGAGGGAGCCATGTGCTATCTGGAAGAAGGATGTCCCAAGCAGAGGGAACAGCAAGTACAAAAGCCCTGAAATGGGGCCATCCTGGGCATGTTTGAAGAACAACAAGGAGACCAGTAGAGCTAGGTGAGCAAACGGAAGAGTAGTAGGAAAATAGGTCAGGTGGCTGGGCGCAGTGGCTCACGCCTGTAATTCCAGCACTTCGTGAGGCCGAGGTGGGTCAATCACTTGAGGTCAGGAGTTCAAGACCAGCCTGGCCAACATGGTGAAACCTGGTCTCTACTAAAAATACAAAA